ATTATAGTTTAGATTGTTCTCCACTCAATTTGACAAATTATTTCCCCTTCTGTGCAACACAAATTTGAAAGATTTAACTCAAAGTGCTTTGAACCATTACGAAGTCACCCTGGATCATCAAGACTGTGTGAAAATACGAGATGTAAATGTCAGTAGCAATGGGCGTTATTTATTGCTCACTGTACGAAACTGGAATATTTTCTAAAAAACGAGGTACAGCCTCTTTGATGTTGATGACTTTGAGTCAAAGTTTCATTTGTTTGATTGATGCCTCAGCTTGTTTGGATGGAAATTCGTATCTTGGCACTCAGCAAAACTCAATTTATTGTGAGTAATCTGAGAGCCAACATTTAATCTTTCTAAATAACCGTCCGGAAAGATCAAACTGTAAATTTAAATAAGGCAGAGTCGTGCCAGTTTTAGTTTGTTTTCTTTGAGTGACTGTTTGTCTTTTTAAAGTCTGAAGGATGTGATTACACATTCAGATTTTAAAAGATTTTCCTCAGGGCAATCGGATTTCTTTGATAAACTTATTGGGAAAATATGATTCAAATGTGTCGAAATGTATTTGAATAATGTCTATATAATTGGCCTTTAGATGACACATTACCTTTTATGCATGCCTCTCATAAAACACCACAGTAGCATCCTAATCAGTCAAATTCATAACACATGCCACTGACTAATGCATTCTTTATCATGCCATTAACCGGCTAATACAGAAGAGAAACAGTAGCTTGCTTGCAACTCTGCAATTTTAAGAGTAATTCTGTCATTTAAAAAATATGTATAAAGTGATGTCTTTATTTTTAAGCTTTTGGCAAAACACGTTGTCATAATTATGCCTTTGTATATCAAAATTGCTTTTAAATGTGGAGCTATTAGGCTAATTGATGTGTGTCATCATACCTCAGTTAAAGCCTATTATTAAAAGTCAGCAGTCAACTTATTATTTCACATTTTTTACATTTTAGAGACTCAATTTCACACCAACTCGCAAGAATAGTGGGTTTTGGGTGTCTTGCTTAAGGGCATTTTGAAAGGATACACTGCTGCAAACTGACATGAAAGATACAGCAGGATTAAACTTGTTTTGAACATGGGACCAAGTTCAAGTCTGCCATCCTTAGGCCTTCAATCATTTGGAAGCATGAATACTCAAGAGTATATAGGCAGAGTAAAGACAACATACATGAGGCCAAAATGTGACCCTGTCTGTCACCACGTTTCATTTCTATGTCCACACCAAAAATGTAAAAGGTCCCAAAAGACAAAGGATTTTTACCTAGGATCATGAACCTATTACTACTCATGACATATTGGCCCCCCTCTCAACGTTTATTCTTCCAAGTCAGCACTGACTGGAACGTCACCAGTTCCACCCCGGACTGTTTCTACCACATCTATTGCAGGGAAGCCAGCTGTTGTTGAGTTCGTCTGACGCGCTGCACATTTGTGTTTTGTCTGCATAATCAAGGAAGCCAGAAGTAAACTGATGGAGAGATACAGTCCCAAATTACTCAGGAGGAAACGGGGAACAATGAGCAATTTACGGTCGCTTCATGTCTCTGTTCCACCACAGTGCTAAGTGTCGTCTAGGCTTATCACTGTCATTTACATCTCTTCTCTTCCACTGCCTCAGGCAAAAAACCCTGTAGGAGCACGTTATTATAGAGATATTTTAATCTCAAATAGTGTAAGTGGTTAATTACTTCAGAATTTAGATTTTTATTAGTTGTTAGCAGTTGTAAAAAAAAAAGTAAATCCACAGCCAACAACAATGAAGCCGATTTTGGTAAATGATTATTCAATAGCATGTCTTAGTAACAACATATTGATTACTACAAGAGAAATATTTGTATTTGAAAAAGTAAGAAAAAAAGTATTCTTGACATGAACGAAACATATAAAGATAAATCATTCATTGAGAACCGTTACTCTACTTAAACATCATGACTGATCTCACACTGAAGTAAACTGACACGACCACCATGATATCAAACAAAGTTACTTGTCTGTCAAACAGACACTGGTTAATCTTTTAATGCTTTGTAAAAGTCCTTAGAAATGTTTAAAAAAATTGTTTCCCTGACGTAACAACAAGATGAGGGCATAAAACAACCAATCAAAAAAGTAAAAGCACAAGCTAGGGCAAATATTTACAGGCCTTGTAGCTCCCAAATGTGTAGGTTATGTAACTTTGCAATTATAAAAAAATAACAAAAATAAAGCCATAAAAATGATAATTTGTTGATTGCTTCTTTTTACTTTAATAGCATCAAGAATTTGAAAATATTTGTCGGAATATCACTCAATCATTCAAGTGAGTTTAAATATGCATAAAGTTACTTCAGACATAGGTATTGGGTAATGCAATCTTCAAAGGCGTATATTAAGGCAATTCATAATCCTTAAAAGAACATTGATATTGGGAATTCCCATTATGGCCACATTAACAAACAGGCTACACATACCACCCTTTGGTTTATGGTGAGAAAGGGTGAAAGGGCGAAGTAGAAGGGGCTATACAAGATAATTCATTGGACACAAAGTTCACAATGATATACTGTATACCCCCCCTGTGTATCCTGCAACCTATCAATGTTCTTCTTTACATATGAAACTAAACAAAACGTTGGGATTTTAGCTTTTGCAGACTATTTAAGTGCACACAAATCTATATAAACCACTACAGGAAAGGGAAGCCCCCAAATGCATGTCAGGGCCCATTTAACAACCTGTTAAAAAAGATTATATTTCTTCTTTATAAAAAAGAACTTTTGCTGCTTTTGTGTTGCCACAAATGGTGTTGGAGTGGGACCTCTTGTAGTTATTGCATGTTTGGACAGGACGCAACTGTTATTGTGATAAGATCTAATTCCTGTTTGAAACATATTTTATCAAATTGTTGCAATAAATATAAAGTGTTATAATGACCAAGTCCAATTTTGAGATTTTGATTGAAGTTATTTTCAAAGAAGAGATTCACCATTATTATTCTTGCAGGTCTTGAACACACACACACACACACACACACACACACACACACACACACACACACACACACACACAC